GATTTAATATAGCATTTAGGAAAGATGTTCTTGTATTAATTCAAATATATATTTCATTGTTTACTTCATCAATTACAGTATTCTATTCCTTTAATTATATAAGTTTATTTCTTGTTGTCCATTTATTCTATTACAGAATAAATTTGAATACTTTCATAACACCTTTTGCAACTTGATAGCTTTGTTAAACAATGTAATAGCTAATCACTTCATTCTTTTTCAGAATACATTTACAAATACAATTAAGGATAAGGTGGGTGAGACTTCAACATTATATTAAGGAATGAAGAAGGTCTTGAAGTAGATGACAGAGACATGGAGAGAAACACGACCACAAATGGAGAAGATGAAGGAGAAAAAACTAGTGTAGATGATGTGAATTTATTGAAAACGGTATCGGAGGAGCAATTACTGAAAACTTGGATAGAAACAGTTGGTGGAACTAAAAAAGGAAAAATATATGGGCTTGGTTCTAGAAATTGTTTGCTGGCAGATTCAAAGAATTCTAATTGTGCATTCTCTACTGCTCAGAATCCTTCAAATATTCCTACTCAACAAATATTTGAAACACCTGAATTTCAACAACTTCTTGACCGCGTGTTGGAGCAACGGATGACGAATATGCAAGAGCATGTGCAAATGGATATTCGAGAAAATATGGAAGCTCAAGTGACTATTGTGGTTCGTGCTGCCGTGGCTCGAATGCTTGGTTTTACTCCTCAACCACCACCAGATGGATCTGGTTCTACCCCAAATGTACCTTAAGATAATTTATGTTACTGTTTTTATGTTTTAAGACATTTATGTTACTGTTTTTATGTTTTAAGACATGTTTTAGTAGTAAACATGTACTTCACTATTCAAGGATTGATGATATTATAACTGTGCTCATTTTGAAAAATTGATTTGATTTAACTATGTTTTTCATCTTGTGTCAAATATAGAAAATTATATTTGTATTCGTCATACAATTTCTAGCTAGATTTATCTAGAAAATATCCCTAGCTGTTTTTAGCTATTCATTTAGCAAAGAAAATATTCCAAGAAAAATTTGAAAAATAGCTAGAGAATTTGTAAGTTTAGATAGGGTAATTCCTTGCTAAGTCTTAGTAAAGTCAACATTTACCAAGTAAATTTTGCTATGAATTTAGCTAGTATACATCGTAGCAAACTGTTTGCTACGGAAAGAGCCTAGCAGAGATATCTTAGCTAAATTAGCTAGGAATGACATAATTTGCTAGCTAAAAATTAGTTAAGAGCTTATTAGCTTTGAAGGTCTGCTAGGGTCATTTTCCTAGCTAAATTGACATTAGCTAGGGAATTTATCACTTTAGCTAGGATTTGTGTCTGTAGCTAAACGACTGTTTTCTTATAGTGCTCAAGGCGTTGTACCCCGAGCCCCCCTGCAATTCAGTTAAAGTTAGTAGCAGCAACCAATTCAAAGAGCCAAAGAGCTGAAAAGAGATAAGAGGGTAAACATTTTTATACCTCAGAGGCTCTCAAGTGTTTAAATGTCACAGGCTTGTAGCACATAACTGTGGGTCAACAAGAATTTTTTATACCCTGATTCCAAGTCCGCACGTGCATCTCTCTTGTCTGCTGCAGGAATCAAAAATAGATAAAATGTTATAGTTAAAATGAAATGCACAAGGACTACTCTTTGCTGAAAAGATCAAAACCTACTACTTTGACATGTTTTGAGATGTAGATGGTACACACCTTTTTAATGCTTACAATCTTGGATGTACATGGTACCTTCCAAAGCCAAAAATGATTCCAAGTTAGTCACAACTTCAGATACAATAATCAATCTTTTTTTCAATTTTTTATCAACTTTGAAAACTCAAAATTATCAAAAGTTGATTAACTTCTTCTGTTCATTGAGTAAAGATGAATTTTGTCCTTAACAAATTAAGAACAGTAATAAAATCATTTATGGACACAAAAAGCAGGAATTGGTCCACTGGTTCACGCCGCCACAAAGAAATCTGGTGAAGAAATTGCACATACGTACAATCACATCTACGGTCTTTCTATTACAGGGTTAAGATTCTTCACTGTTTATGGACCTTGGGGTCGGCCAGATATGGCGTATTACTTCTTCACAAAGAACATACTAAAAAAGAAATCCCATTTCAGTATTTCAAGGTTCTAATAACAAACGTGTAGCAAGGAATTTTACGTACATTGATGTATAGAGAAAGGGTGTTTAGGGGAGCTTCGGATACAGCAGAGAAGAGCACATGAAGTGGAGGAAAGAAGAAAAAGAATGCACAATTAAGAGTGTTTAATTGGGGAATACTTCACCAGTTCATATTGGAAAATTGCTCAAGGTAAAGGCCAAAAGAAATGTGTTTAATTGGGGAATATTTCACCAGTTCCAGTAACAAAGCTAGTCACCAGTCACCAAATTCTTCTGTGAGTGAGTCCATCAAAACTCGATGATGTTTGTTGTTTAGTTATTTTATTATAGCAGATAAACGCCTTGATCTCATTTTTTTTGCGGCAAAATATCACTAAACCAGCCAAGCAACACTTGAATGTTAATGAAAACCTGACAATGGCTCATCTTGTAGGAATACAGAAAAATCGCAATTACTATTTTAGTGCTCAAATATGCGATTCGTGATGTTTACCCAAAACCATATCCTTGATAATCCAATGCACTCACGGTGTAAATTATAGCAGCTCCTCTGCTATTTAGTCATATTTCTTAAGAGGTTAGAAGCTCGAGTGCGTGAGACTATCAAGCACTTGAAGCATGAGAGCTAGAAAGTTGTGCTCTCGTTCACTGCTTCTTTGGGCGAGATGCTGAGGAAGTTTAACTTGATTTAAGTGTACAAGCTACTATCCAGGGATATTTTAAGGTCATTATAACTCAAGTTATAAACAGAAGGAACAGTACAATACAGAAAAAAAACCAAAAACCAAATTTTCCATTCATAATACTTAACTCAGACATAATTTTTAAAAAGATTAAACAAATCCCTTGATAACTAAAGCATTTCCTGCTAGTGAACTTGTTTATACAAGGGAAGTCAATAAACAAAGAACTCAACTTCCAAATATCACAATCTCCACCAAAAAAATAAATCCCGCAAATTCGCTCATATCAAAAACCCCAAAATCACTTAATTGTTAACCAGTATCTTCAATCATTTTTTCATGAAACCCCACGTAACATTAACCATTTTCCTTATTTAATGATCCAAGAAGAAAAACCCCAAAAAAGAAATCACAAAACCCACTTACAATTCCTTTGCATACACAAATTTATACAAGAAACCCCATAACCAATATACAAAAAAGTGAATCACCGAACCAGTGATAAAAAAAATACACAAAACAAGAAGATAAAACCCAGTAGTCCAATTATTTTCCTACAGTAATAAATAGAGAAACACTCACAAGTTTGGAGGAATGAGAAATCGAGTTAGGAGCAGATACAGCTGTATGATTTGAGATATTTGAAAGTGCCAGTCGTTTCCTAGCCGCTCCAGCATTCAATTTTCCGGCCTGATTATTCTCGAACCCCGATGAATTTGCCGCCATTGCTTGTCTCTTTGCCACCACGCTCGAAACTAACAAACGCCTATTCTGGGTCATCGTCATTTCCTCCCTCTAATGTAAAACGATCGGAAAATTAAACCCTTATCGACAATTTCTCATCACCTTCTTCAAGAAAACGAAGAAGAAGAAGAAGAAAGTTGCTCCGTAATAGTGAAAAATGTGAAATAATATATAAAAGCTAAGCATAGGCGGAAAAGAAAAAGGTTGATTTGATATGACCGTTTGATTCGATTGAGGCATTCGTTACGAGCGGATAAGGTTGGGCCCACCAAAAATCAGTTGTTTGAATTTAATATGGACCAATCATATGAAAACACATAGACTAATTTATATGTATAAATTATAGGAACCACATATTATAAGTACTAAATAACATCCTATCCCTTCTAGTTTTTTATTTACCAAAAATCCCTTAAAAATGATGTTTGCGGGATACATAGCGTTGTGCACGGGATACATTAGGTTTGATACATTCCACATAGCGGGATACATAGCGTTGTGCACGAGATACATTAGGTTTGATACATTCCACATAGTGGGATACATAGCGTTGTGCACGGGATACATGTGGAAAACATAGCGTTGTGCACGAGATACATAGCGTTTGATACATTCCACATAGCAGGATACATAACATTGTGCACGGGATACATGCAGGATACATAGGTAAATAAGGGATTTTTGAAAATTTTGAAATAAGTAGGGATAAATGGATATTAAGGTAAGTAAAAGAGTGTAATTAAGTAATTTGTCCAATTTATATTGTGGGTGAATGAAGGTGCTGTGCCTTTTTGGAATTTATTGAACCCAAAAAGTCTTGTTAGTTTTTTGGACATGGATTGTTTTGTAAAAGTTGAAAAATTATGAGTAGTAGTACGCATTGAAAAAACAACACTAATAAGTAATAACATATTCGGTAAAATCTCACTAGTTAGATCTAAAAAAGATGGTGTGTAGACGTTGTATAAAAAAGCTATTTAAAGTTTCATGAACATTTGGTCATGTTTTATTGTGAAATTTTTAGGAAGACAGTTTTTGTTTTTAAAGTGAAAACTTATATTTGGCTATGAAAATTTTTAAATTCAACTTGAAGTTGTATTTCAAATTTGAGAACAGGAATACTTCCAAATTGAATAGTAAATGATGCTTTACAATTCTTAGGACATATTGTGTTATGTCCAAATAATAGATGGCAATTCCGGGTGAAAAAAAGAAGAAGAAATTGCATAGTCCATTAGGACGTCAAATAAATGCTCAGGTTATAAGAACCTACCTGCACAAAGCAGCAAAAAAAGGGAAGAAAACACATATGATTGAAATTTCAAACCAATCAAGACAACAGAAGGATATACATGTAACTAAAACACTTTCCATGAGCAAATTGACTAATTAATATCACCGTTGAATATTCAACACTACACATAAAGATACAAAAAGAACAAAAAAAAAAGGTTTTATTCCACTCATGTGGGCTTGATCATGACTTGAATTGACTTCATCATTAGACTTGTAAACGCTGTCGTTCTGGGGTCCAATGAGGAGCAGTTGCACTAAAATGCACTGAAATAACCCTGGAGTCCAATAATTCCACTATAGGTGTAAAATTAACACACCTAGGAGCCTTATACTGATTTATAGATGCACCTCTAGAAATTGCATAGTCCATTAGCTCTTCAAATGTACCATTTTCCACTACTCTAATTTCAAGTGGTCCAATTGAGTTATCTGCAACTCGGCACTGTCGATAAACCGAGTTCAAACATTCTTCCATAGCCAAACAACATTGGTTCAAAACCTCGTGGCTCGGAAAATTGGTTGGGTCCTTAATAAGTAATTCACAGTAAATAACATAATGTCCCGGAATGGTTTTAGTGTCGGCATAACTAGTGTACTCGACCACGCTAGTATTGTACAGGCGCAAAATTGCAGCAGCGCTATCAACCGCGTTTTGCAACTCGGCTTCATCAGTTTTGTCCGAATCAATACTCAATAGCACATTTTTCCTTCTTATGAATTTAAACTGAGGGGCAGAGTTGTGAAACCCCGTGACCTGGAGTATGTCACCGACTCTGTAACGACATAATCCAGCGTAGGTAGTGATCACGAGTTCGTATTCTTTCCCCACTTCTACGTTGGCTAGGTCCATGAGACGGGGTGGTGAGTCACGAGGATTGGCTGAGTCATGAGGGATAAACTCATAGTAGCACATATTGGGCATTATAGTGTAACATACTTCAGATGGCTTGCACATTGGATTTAAATTAAGGCCAAAATAACACTCGGACGATGCGTACATGGTACACGCCTTTGGTAAACCACCACTGTAATAATCCAGAGTAGGGATGTACTGAGCCATTGCACCTGTTGCAATTATATCCACAATAAGTAGTATTAGAAATCTGAAAAAAATAATAAGGCTATAACATGTTATCGCGTATATAAGTAATTAAATCTTGCAAAGCAAATTTATTTATCATACCTGTGACAATCACATCCAAGTACTTTGTATTTGGCCAAATTCTAGTAATAATCCCTTCCCAGTTCTGTTTTTCGCATTCCTTAATAATGAACTCTGCGAGTTCATGATTTGGTTTAAGTATTTTGGAGATGCATTCCCTTATTGAAGGGTCATAAACTCGGGGATTCAATATTCCTGAAGCGATATCTTTAGCAAGTTGCTGCCAATTGAGTTGAAGAAAATGAATAGCTCGAAGTAGACCAGAGGCAAAAACAGCCCCTAACCGGAGGACTTGTTCTCTCATAAGAAGGCCACAAAGCATTTGTGAGTACATGCTCTGGAAAGAGTCGACACAGAGAACAGCTTCGTTGGGACTAGTATACACATTGTAAGGATCGTATGGCCTCGTCTTGAAGTGATCACTTTTGTAGTAACTTGTCAAGACAGGTCTTGCTAGTAGCCCACTGGGTGTCTTAGTTTCTGCTTTTATAAATAGAAAGTACAAGCCCTTCCCTTTGTCTAGACCAGGGACATACCTGTTCACAATCCCCAAATTAAATCAGAAATGTTCAAAAATAAATACTTAAAAGCATATTTACAATAGCACTTACAGATTCATCACGGGCATGAGAAGGCTGTACAATAGTTGTTTCCGGTCTAACTCATCTTGAGTTGTGGGCATCAGCTTTCTCTCACCAGCAGATGTCCCCGAGCTACGTACAAAACAAACAAGAAATGAATTTAATTCACTATGATAATTCATATTAGTCATTGATAAGCTAATTTGAAAGATTAGGTAATTAAATCTCACCTGGTGAGGAACTCAGAGATGGGATGAGATGAGAAAATTGGAGAGCGATCTCCATTAGCAATACGTTGAATATCAGGTTGAATTTCCTCATACGTGACAACTGGTACTTTGGACTTGAATGTATCCCGGTCCACAGCACCACCAAGTTTGAATCTTTGAAGATACTCAGTGTTGGCATTTTGGCTTAGTATTTCTGCCAAAACTTTCTCTTGGACTGAATCAACATTTCTAGTCATCTCTTCTATGAATTGAAGGGCCTTAGCATCCTTCTCACATGCCGGCGGCCCAAGAGGAGACGATGAAACACTTGTATGCATGGTCATTATGAGAGAAAATTGAAAATACAAAAAAGATTTTTTTTTTTTTGTGTAGAGATTGTGTGTGTTTTGGAAGCTGGGAATGACTAGCTTTTTATAATGACATGTTTTTTATATTTCCACGTCATTGTTGACGTAAGTATGCACACGTTGAAGGTGGACTAAAAAAAATTTGGAAAATTTCTGGTATGGACTATGACTGATCGTATTGCCTATAGACATTGTAGTATTTTGTTTGAATTTTGGTCTTGAGAGAAGGGTGCAAATGGGACCCAATATACGCCACCGTGTCTGCTTTAACAAGGACCTGGTGGGTCCATCGCGTATGCCAAGTCAGCAAAGTCCAGCTAAGTTCTTTTGTCAAGAAGTTGACCGGACAACTCATCTATTTTTTAGTGAGTTTGTTGGTCATGGACACACATAACTATTGAGTATATATAAAACGGAAAAAGGTCGTCAGCTTTAAACTATGTCAAACTGAAAAAAAATATTTAACGTCAATAGTTTGATATAAAAATGCTTCTATTATTATTATTTAATATGTTTAAAACGTATGATCATTTCCCATGGTCTTTGAGTGTATATTTACAAACAATTATTAAAACTTGTGTGAGTACTTTGTTCTCTTCTCGGCTATATTATCATATATCCGGTAAGTGGTCGGTTTGATTTTCGATTTTCGATTTTTAAATACACTAAACCAATAACAAATTTTATACATGATCAATACATCATTGTTAGAATGGTTATTCGGTTTAGAACATTGTTATACAATAATTCTTCACGCACAAGTCTGATTCTTTTTTATGGATCAAGTATGTGAAAATTCTTTTTAAGATGGATAACAATGAGATTAAATCTCAGGACATCTACCTACTCTGATAACATATTGTGTGGGTGGGACGGATGTTTGCGTTTCTCCACTTATGGCCGCGGAACTATAACGACCTTGACTGTGCAATTAGTTAAATAGTACTAGGGGAAGTTCAATTTTTTATGGCAATTGATTGATAATCAATGTGTCCAAAGGGGACCTAAAACAGTACCGACCTAACTGGGTGTCTTTTTGCCTGCTTATATTAAAGTAAGTATATATATGTAACTACTTCAATTTTGACTTCAAAAAAAAGTTCCACACGTTTGATGTGCACATGCATGTTGACACTAGTTGTCTTCAACATTCCTGGAGACGTATACGTCTAGTATAATTAAATATGTAAATAGTGTTCAATAGTTTTATCAAGTCATTAATAACCTTTAGAATTGTACTAATTGGTAACTTTTTGTTTGATCAGCTGAGTGTTATGATTAATTTATCCTTTCATATGTATATATTCAATCCGTCGCTAACGAGAATATGACACTAGATAGGAAAATATGAAGGTCGAGGATCAGAGTAGAAGGTTAATAGATAGTCGAAGATAGACAGTTCTCTTATTCGTATTGTTATTATATTACGCTCTTATACTATCTTTTTCTTCAATTATAGTATTACATATTGGCTCTTTTGTTTTATTTATCATATTATTTATTGTTCCTATTTGTTCTCTTTCTTAATTGTTTACAACATGTGACTTCTTTGCTAATGTTTTTTACTTTGTATATACTTAATTTTTGATATGTTTTACTTGAACGGAGGGTCTATTAGAAACAATTTTTTTACCTTTACAAGATAGGATAAGATTGCGTACTATTTATTATTTTTCTCAAAATTCACTCATGATACTACACTAAATATACCGTTATTGTTGTTGCATATTCCATATAATTAAATTTATTTAACAAGACAAGCTGGCCCTTCCCCAAACAAATAATATGATTCTGTAAGCTTCATTGGATATTCTTGATTTGGGTTCAAATAACTAGAGGTTTACCTTAATTTAGATGAAAACTGATTATTACAAGATTTAACATTTATTTTAAATCTTTCTCAGAAGCTTCACATTTTTGCTCTAGGTGACTCAACCTCATTGGCGTAAGCCACATAGCTAGGTGGGCGGTCGAACACCTTTCGTCGAAAGATTATATTATGTACATAGAAAATTATACGAAGTATATAAGTCAAATATTAATTTTTTTTTTTTATATATATATATATATATATATATATATATTAAATCTTAAACACCCGTAACGAAATTTCTAACTTCAGCCGCTTAACCCACAACCTTAAGGTGTTGGTGAACCATCGTTCAAGATTTAACACTTCATTGTTACTCTCTCTGTTTTAATGTATATGGTGTATGTCATGGTTTTGATTGAACGTGGACTTTTCTTAGAACTTTCAAATAGGATAAACTACATAATTAGACATACTTAATTATACTTAACTACTATATATACATATGTTACCTATAGTTTAAAAATATTACCCATAATACCACTTTTTAATAATTATACCATATATTTTAAAAAAATTAAATCAGATACACAAATCCCTTAAATATGGTATTGAATAATTATCCTAAAATTCAAATCCCTTAATTAAAGGTGCTTTAACAATTCAACCTCTTTCAATCTCCTCCCCCAACAATATCTCTCCCCCCAGCCCTTACCGGATTCCACCCTCAATCCGAAAAAGAACTCCGGAAATGGTAAAACTTTGTGTTTTCATATAACCGCATTATGAATGTAATGTTGTGCACTATCTTCTTGCTTAGAGTGTGATTATATCTTTGTATAACATTTTAGAAGGCAAAAAGGCAACCACCCTTCTAAACAAGAATTTTCTGTACTTCTTTGTTCTCTACTTTTTAGGCATTTCTTCTTCTCTGCAATTCTTCCAATTACTTGTTTCAGTTCAATTTACATTAAATACTTCCTCCTTACTCCGACGAGTCGTTGGACACCGATGAAGCCATGCGCAGGTTTTTACATTTTTTGTTTTTGTTGTTTCTCAACTATTTTAATGGTTGACTGTTCACAAAATCAACTGATTCTTGTTAAAGGTTAATTCAAATTAATAAATCGTGTACCTCACCTTTAAAAATTGATGGATACATATATCTCGCCGCTAATGATTAAAGTCAATGAAGAAGATGAAGAGGTTAATCCAAATTAATAATCGTGTATCTCGTCATTAATGATTCATGTAACTCATCATTAATGATTCAAGCTGATGAAGAAGAGATAAAGAGGTTAATTCAAATTAATAAATCGTGTATCTCAACTTTAAAAATTGTTGGATACATGTATCTCGCCATTAATGATTCAAGCCGATGAAGAAGATGAAGAGTACAATAACAGAACTAATTAGGTTTATGATTTCGTTAGTTTAGGAATATTTGTTAGAGATGATACTCAAGATCCTGTAAATTTGTTGAGTTGATAATTAGTCAGCAATTAATCCATTAATTAAGGAAATAAGTTACAACCCCTTTAATTTAAATTAATAAATCGTGCATCTCAGCTTTTAAAACGGTTGAATACATGTATCTCACCATCAGTGATACATGTATCTCGGGGATAAAATATGGTATAAAAAGTAATATTACAAACTATCGGGAATCCTAGTTATTGGGATCTAAAGTAGTGAGATTTATGTAAGATGCCTTTTTAAATATGTTGTTGGTTTTGATCTTATTGCCTTAAATATGCATGTAAGTAATATTTTTGTGATTATAAAAAATATTGAAGTAAAAATTTAAATTTTAAGCTAAATAATTACCAAATTTAAACGAGCACGTTTAATATATATATTAACCGTGCTGGGACAATGAGAGATTCCTTATATATAAGTATAGTCAGATTTTGTTTTCTTGTTGACCATTATCCAATTGTTTTTTTTTTTTACTTGTATCTGTCGGTAAAATGAGCCCATATTTTGATAATTTGCTTAATTTTTTCATATTTTAATGGGTTGGCTGAGTGATCTTTAAACTCATATTTAATGCATAAAAATATGGATAAATATGAATTAGCAAAATGAGTTAAAACTTTCAACTTTTACTCACTCAAAATTCATGATATCACTAAAAATATTGTAATTTTTCTTCCTTTTTATGTTCTTCCGTAAAATTAATTATTCCTCTCTATAATTGAAAAAGTGAAGTCTTTGACTCTCCAATATATATATATATATATATATATACTATATTAAATGTACATTTCTTTTGTTAAATATAATTATATTTTTTTATTTATTTAATTTTATAGTGGGTAACAAATAATAAAGTAAAATAAATAGATCATGTATTAGTATTTTTTTTGGTTTTCCATCCGGTGTGCGGAACCCACATACATTGGAGCTTCGACTAAATTCGGATCACGCTCTGCAGGGCCCATTCGGGGGTGACGTTCCCAACAAGATTTTCTCCATACCCAGGGCTCGAACCCAAGACCTCTGGTTAAGGGTGAAACACTCCCACTAGTGCACCACAACCCATGTTGGTAATCTTGTATTAGTATTGATATTGTTTAAAGTGCGATAAGTACGTTTTACTCCTAAAATGCAAATATTCATTTACTTTGAAATTAAAAATATTTTTCCCTTGTTATTACATTAATTTATTTTATATCAAAAAGTTATAGATTTTTTTTTTACTTTTATAATACAATAAAACTAAATAAAGTATTTTCAACATTTTTCATCCAAAAAAGAAGACTAAAATATTAAATTATTACTCATATTTTATTGATTCATTTTCAATCCATCTAAATTTAACCCAATCAATCTATTTGTCACCTACTTGTAGCGAACAATTGAAGATACGTGTACGAATGGTTTATGTTTTCAATTATTCGGCAATGAGTTTTGTTTTTATGTAAACCTAAAGTAGCTTCAGTTGTTGACCGAAAAGTCTGATGAATAGCAGCCAAGTTTTTTTTATATCATTCGTTGCCAATATCCTAGCAATTCGTATTTTTGAACAGAAATCTCTTGGGATATATATTATTAATCATATGTTTAAAAAATATTTATTATAGAATAATTATTTGTTCAGTTTTAATAGATCATATATTCATTTATGATGTATGTTTACTTATATAGTAGATGATTTAGTATTATAGAGTTTTAGCTTATATACGGAAGATTAAATCATTAGCT